CCCCTGACAGTCTCCTGACGACGGACAGAGCACATTGTCCGAAACGTTGAGCCTCTCCGGTTCTTATCAGAACCACACAGACTCAAAAAGAGATATTGCATGGTGCTTACTGCAAGCTTTCCATCTTAGTCCACGAATACTGCTGTTCATGAAATTTAGTTTTTATTTTTGTCGTCGGCCATGTTATGCATGTAAAGCTAACAGATACAATAACTTACATGTATACATGAATGCACATAATCCATCATGTCCATGAGCATGTTGAGCAGCAATCATGCCGAAGAAAATGAGAAACGGGAAAGCACCAAAAAAATACCAGTCAGAAGTTGGAAATAAACCCTCAGTCTAAACTTGACTAACCAATACCATCTCCTACATAAACACAAGCTAAGAACTCTGAATAAAATATTTCCACGATTAAAACAATTTCAAAGTTACCTTTTACATTGTTTTGACAATGTCTGTGAACAGGTGAAGACTGAAGACTTTACGCAGGTGCTATGCATAATTATACATGTACAGTATGTAGTAAGAAGCACGCATGCCAAAAAAATAGCGCCCTCAAAGAACTTTTTTAAAGTGTCAATTATCTTAAATAGCGCCCTCAAGAAATGCTTTTCAAAAATTATCCATACTTGCGTTCCCCGTTAATCTGAAATAGCGCCCTCAAGAAAGACTTGAGAAGTGCCCGTAAATCTATAGCACTCTGAAGAAAAGGTTTACTTGAAATAGTATCATCCGTACATCTGAAATAGCGCCCTCATGAAAAAGTTTTTTGAAAAGTGTCCTTATATTAGCTCCCTTGCCCAAACAGTAAATCTGTCCCCAGGTAAATCTGTCTTTGGGGACAGAATCGCCTAGGTAAAAGTCCCCCCCCCGGTCCGATGTAAGCTGTCTCCTTCCAGGTAATTTCGTTCCTGCCTCCAGGTAATTTTGTTCCCCGGGTTTTTCCGCACAGAATCAGTAGTTATTTATAATTACTTGCTATTTTGATGAATTCAGTCCAAATAAATACATTTTAGACTTTTCTGCACTTCATCGAGTTACCAATGCAAAAATAGAAATACAATGTCAATGCGACAAAGTTGACCATCCTGTGGAATGACATAACCTGCGTATCTGGGTCAAATGTACTACATGTACTGGAAACCAAATCTGTAAAAGGCCAGGTGCATGAAAACACATGTAGGCAAGATGTTGGCAAAAATGTTGAGAGGTGGATTTTGCCCCAAGCTCTTGGCTGACACGCATCTAACCATCCACGGAAAGTCTAAAAGTTGTGATAGCAGGGAAGAATTTTGCCACCAACGTGAGTGTTTTTTCAAGTGTTTGTAATTTATTTTTCATGTTCCGCTGAAAAGTCTGGTAATTTAGACGTCTAGTCAGTGACTTTAATTAAATATTGATGTGTCGTCAGAATTTGGAGAAAGGAGCGGGAAATGATCAGTGGTGGGTGGACGTAACTCGAATAATTGAGGGGCAGTTTAGGGGAACTTATTTCGCTCAATTCGTTGAAATGCTGTTGGAAATCGTTTGTATCTCTCAGCTCATTTGGTATACCTTTGCCGTCTTCCTCTTGATTGCATTAGCCTACAGCCGGCAAACTGTTAAAACTAGCCGCCCACGTACACGTACGTAAATAAAGACTCATCGGGTAGATATATTCCACGGCAAACCAACAATAGCAACATGTGTAGTTGAAATGAAACGCAAACAACGTGGGAAGAAACAAAAACAATTGACCATAAATGGAAGCAAAGAGAAATTTGGAAACAATTAAATACTTGAATATTCCTCCTCTTAAAAATGCTTGTGCACATTTCTTTCATAATTTATTTTTATTTCACAGCAAAGTAGTTCCATGTAATATAAATACTAACAAACCACAATACCAGCCCTTAGGACAAGACACAAATAGAAAATATGGCAGCACAAAAACGGAATATTTACAGTCTTGCCTTTAAAAAATCTTAGAGACTGTACAGATGGAAGTTCTCAAACTACGTGACTATTGCTACTTATTGCCTAGAGTTCTGTAAACTTTGAATATTCACATAGAAAATGTTTAACAGCTTTGGTCTGCTAGACAAAGGTAACCATTCAATCTATTCTATGGCATACGGCACTAAAGAAAGACGATTGCAAAAGAACTCCCCCCCCCCCGAATAGGTACAAATGATTTGAAAATCCTATTCTACATAAGCTTAAAGCAGATTTGCTTCAAGCGATTTGAGCGAAACCAACAAATTATAGCACACAGAAAGTGACACTATCACTACAAATATCACTAGATACCAGTACCACGGATCAGTCTGAATAAAAAGAAACACTTCTCCCGGACTGCTTTGTGATGTGAGTCAAATATATATGGAATTCACAGAACTAAATAAAGTACAACTTCAACTCACACGTCTGCTATAAGAAGTTCTACTTCACACGACGTAGACGTGTTTACGAAGTCTTTTTATACATGTACCGGTTGTATATAAAATGATAAAACAAAAATGATCCAATGCTGTTGATACCTTGCCATCTTTATACAAATACAACAATCTCCGCGATAAAAAGTAAATAAAAAATGCTAATATATTATTAGCATAACAACTATATATACAAACATATTTTAAATAAAAAATAAAACTTTACATGCGAGTCTTAATCAATAACTGCACAACAGTTTAATTAAATTAGTCACTGTCTGATTTTAAACTGTTTTTTTTCTCCAACAACAGAACTGGCAGGACTTACTTTTATAAATTTAATGCATTCTACGAATGATTTTGATTATTGCTCGTACTAAGAATGACTTTTGTTTACTTCAGGTAAACAAGCCATCTCCCCTTTTCTTCTATAGGATGTACTTCTAATAATGGCAGATTTTGTTTCTCTTGACGTTACAGTTTAACAGTGATACTATCATTCACTCTGAACACAACTAGCCCTTACTGCATTTAAAAAAAGTACAAAAATACACATACACCGTATGTACATGTAGAAAAACGACACCCTGGTCAATACTGGCATCATAACAATCATCGGTGATAAGGAATTTGGGTAAAGGCATTTCAAGTTTGGTTTGCATTCCATGATCAATTCAAAATTTACAAACAGTAAAATGTCAATAAGGCAGTTCCATGGAGTTGGACGGACATTGCAGACACTTCAACAGTATGCAGTGTTACCCTTACAATCATAAGGAAAATTTCCATCATGAAAAAAAACTGAGCTAAATGGTAGAGTTTATGAAAAAAAATTACTCATCCAGCATAATAACTGTAATTATAGACGCTGACTCTAAACACCATGGTGCTCGATGTACCAAGAAAAAATTCACTTTTGAATATCCATTTTTGCCCCCAAAAACTAGGACCTGAAGGATTTTTTTTCCTGTTTATTTTCATTGTTAACACATATACACTCTCAGATGTACACATGTATACTTGTATATACATGTATGTATAAAAAGGCAAGACATGTTTTTGTCAAACTGGGACTTCTAGAGAAAGCATTACATAGATTAGGAATGTACTTTTATAGCCATAAGGATTTGCAGTACACATGTAAACCTCCATTACAAAGTAGAAAGTAATCCAGCAAAATGCAATCAAATCAAATCAAATATTCCTGCTCAAATCACTTATTAAACAGGTTTTAAAAAGTGTACTTTATACAAAACTTACACAAGCACTGCTTTTTTGTTTGCGCCCCAATACATGTAGGCCAAAAACGATCACCATACATGTACATGTAAAATCTGTCAAAGGGATTACTTACCAGGTTTTTTCAAAACCACTTGACTACACTACAACAAATTGCTACAAATTGCTACATGTATAGTCCTACCCCACAAATGAACAGTCTTTTAGTCCTATTAAATTAGATACCACACGTAATATTTGGGTGTTGATAGTTCTTGATGTTTTACAAACACTTGTTTTCAGGCTAAACGTAAGTCAACTGTCTCTGTTATGACCACTCCTGTATTAATAAGGACTTGTGAGATAATTTGTGAAAGGACTTGCTATCAACTCCACGACAAAACTGCAAGTTTTAATTTACTCTTGATTTGCTATAAAAAAACATAATTTCAAAGGCACCGCTTTGTATAAATAACTGTATGCACCATTGTTAAAACATTGGTTGATAACTGAATGCACCATTGTTAAAACATTAGTTGTTTAATAGAGAGATTGAATAGATTGCAATTAAACTGAATGAAAACTATCAAATACCAGTAAATGTAGTTTGGTAAGGCACCCAACATGCAATGTACATTCTGATAGGAATCCATCAATTCTCGGAATTTGGAAGGAATCAAGCTGCGAGGTTGGTCAAATGTGAGATATGCAGGTATCTACATGTACAAATAAGGTAAATGTGTGGAAAAGTTGGACGCTTTCATGTTGGCAGGTTCAGATTAGGCACTCAATGTTAAAATTACAATACTGATTATATCTGCATGAATGATTCACGGCAAAACAAGCAGACCTTGAAATCTTTTCCAGTTTTTACACTTTAGAAAAAGTTAATTTGCAAGCAACAAAATACAACAGCAAAAGTCATGTTTGATTTTTTTATCAAAACATGAGTGAGGTATTCTGTTAATCTGACATCTGTCAATTACTTCAACTCACGTAAGCATTAAAAGGACTCTCCTTTCATGAGCTCATAATGTCTTCAGTTCTTCATTACTAGACTCTGAGATCTACAGCGATTACCAAATTGCACTTACTTCAAACAGGCAGATGAACATTGAATAAGCCAAGAACGTGTCACTGCCCCTTCCATCGGAGGAATCTAAAAAGACACCAAGCAAAACCCTTCCTCTCTATGATCCAAGGTCTGACGTCCTTTGTATGATCCTGAGTTGATGTCCCCAGTGTGATCCACAGTCTGACATCCTTTGTTTGATCAAGGTCTGATGTCCTCAGTGACCACATGACACCCCATTATGCTGACATCATCCAGTATAATCTGGTCACCAGCAAATTGTGTTGTCACTCGTGGAAGTAAGGACATAATATTATACCAAAAGCAAAAGGAATTCTATGTTTGAACATTTCCTTGTGTCCTCAGATCCTATCTGAAGAATGAAGAAAAGTGTTCTTTCCTCAAAGACCTATCTTGAACCTATTTTAGTGAATGAAAGTGAAAAACAATCAAGAGAAAGGATCCTTCTTGTTTGTCCTTTTCTCTGTCTTGTGTCTGTCGTCCTCAGACCTAACTTGTTCCTTGAATTTGATGTTTGCGTCCTCCATCGTGGATGACGAGATTCTTGTTTCAAATCGATCTCGTCCTCTCTCCCTCCTTTTACGGATGAAGCTGTGAGTCAGGAGCTGTGTGGCAGTTGGCCTCTCGTCCTGGTCTCTAAGATTGCAAGGAAACATTCACAACAAATACATGTAGTCTTTATATCACAGCATTTTGGTCAGGTTAAAGAGACAGATGCATTAAATGGATAAGTCTGACATCTTTAAACAGTGTTAAATTCTGGAACAAAGGAACAGGATATCACGGTTTAAAGTTTGTGAAAGTACTGATGATTTTAGAAGTGGAACAATTAGTACGAGGTCCAATATGATGGGAAGGACTTTGTCAAGAAAATGTGATGAACAGAAACTCCAGGAAGAAGCGGAATCATTCTGATCTGTATTCACAAGGAACAAAGTCCGGTATCTTATTGAAACAAGGCATACGTGAAAAGTCTCTCATGATGTTAGCAACCTATACCATGAATTTACTATCACAGTACGCCAACCGGGCCAAGTATCATAGCAGTATCCAGTATCAAGCAGCCAAGCAGACAACGAAGCATCAATAGCAAACAAGTTGGGAACCAGTTACAGAACTATGCAATGAAAAATATCTTGGCTGAAAATTGTTAGTAATAAAAATTGTGATTATAAAATCAAGTGTGCAACAAAATTTCCAATCACGGCAATAAACTTACAAAATCAAATCAATTCAAATCAAATGCATGTAATTGATTTTAAGAAAGCATTTTTCTGCCACCCTTGACTGACCTTGTTAAACAAGCATTGACAAATTCCCGAGCAAAGCAAGAAAATTTCTCTGGAAGCTGGGGTACTGGTCCACCTGAGCCAATGGCAAAGATTGCAGTCATGGGAGGCATCTCGGACCAAGGAGGTTTCCGTGTTGCCATTTCAAACACTGTGCAGCCGATACTCCTGAAGGAAAGAGACCAAGGATTGGGTAGGCCTGTCAAGACACAGGTGTGCCAGAGGGTGGGATTGAATTGATTAGTCACAGTGGTCACTGGCTACTGGCAGTTAAATTGAGTGGACAATCACAGTGGTCACTGGCTACTGGCAGTTAAATTGAGTGGACAATCACAGTGGTCACTGGCTACTGGCAGTTAAATTGAGTGGACAATCACAGTGGTCACTGGCTACTGGCAGTTAAATTGAGTGGACAATCACAGTGGTCACTGGCTACTGGCAGTTAAATTGAGTGGACAATCACAGTGGTCACTGGCTACTGGCAGTTAAATTGAGTGGACACTTACAGTGGTCACTGGCTGCTGGCAGTTAAATTGAGTGGACACCACAGTGGTCACTGGCTACTTGTGGTCAACGTGGTCACAGGTTAGTTGTGGGTGTATCTCACCTCTCATCAACTTCTCACAACTTACTAATTGTATCATTACTCATTGAAGACTCACCATATGTCAGATTTCTTGCCATGTCCTGTTTCCATAATGACTTCCGGTGCCATCCAGTAAGGAGTTCCTCTCATAGACTTCAGGAGGTTCTGGCTCTGACTAATGTTGATGCAGAGTCTCTTAGCGCAGCCAAAGTCAATCAGTTTGATAACGCCGTTAGACATAAGCATGATGTTGGCTCCCTTGATGTCTCTGGCAATAGAAGAATGTAATTTCAATTATTTAGGTTCTAGCGTGCTGCATGTGATTTTGACAGATGCTTTAAACTAAACCTGAAAGTTTGGGAGGATTCTGCTAACTCAGCCAAAATTACTACACACAGTTCAAAGGTCATACAGCATCATAACATTCTATTGTCCATCAGGCTTTCTATTCATCGTCATAAACGAGGCAGGAATAAGATGGATGGAACAAAGTAATCTGTACTTGCTGAGACAAGTGGGTCTCATGATACCAGTCCTCACCTGTGGATGACATTCTTGGCATGGAGGTACTCGGTTCCTTGGAGAATCTGTTTAGTGTAGCGACAGAAGACAGGTTCTTCTAAAGCTCCGAAGCGAGCGAGGAGAGAGGCAATAGAACCTCCTGGGATATACTGCATGAAAATGTTGACAGTGCTACCTTCAAGTGAGACACCCAGGAACCTACAGTGATCGGTATAAACCACAAATTATGATGTGATAAATCTGCATGATGGCCTGATGGGTAGAACAAAGTGTTGACTGTACTGACGTCTACAAACCCAAGAAGCTATAGGGTTAGGAACAAAAAGGAGATAATTTGAAAAATCTTGTTACCCTCTTTTATTCTGATAAATCTACATGTTGACTGTACCAACCTCTAGAGAGGCCTTGGAAGCTTTGAGGTTAGGAGCAAAACATTATGTGACAAATCTACTTATTACCCTTTACTTGTCCAAAAGGTACTTCCTTGTAGAGACCAACCTAGCCTCCTTGGCCAACTTTCCCAC